TGATTTGAGTTAACCTAGGAAAAAAATCACGTTAAATCAAAACACACGTGTTAAATAGTTCTGAGAATTTAAGATAAAAACACAACTATAATACAAGCAAAAACTGACATTACGGTATGGTGGAAGAGCTCATGGTTGCTAACTCCAAAAGTACCGAGTTCGGAACCCCCAGAGAAGATGTGGCTTCTTAGCTATGGACATCAACTTATCTAGGAGAGAAAACTCAAAACAAAACAAAACAGCTGTCTTGCAGATTGTTGTTGGGTGGACACATGCTAGGAATGCGAATTTAGAACGAAAATCATGCTGAAATCGCAATCGACGCACTTCATTTTTTTCTTTCACGTACCTTATATTAGGAGGAAAGGGGGGCACCCCGGGACGCGTTTGCAGACCCCCCCCCCCCACCCCCAACCAACCCCCACCTTCTATCGACGAAATGTAAATTATATTTAAAAAAATAAATATTCCACCCCCCCCCCCACCGGAAAATTCAGACCACCCCACCCATCCGAAAGTTTAAAGTGTCTTTCCCCACCCCCACCCCGCTTGGTGTAAAAAGGATGAAAGAGACACTGACGTGCCATATTTCGGATAACATATTGGAATCTAATACTTAATTATGTTGAAGGAAAAGCCTCTGCAAGTAACAACGTAGAAGAAGAAGAAAAATGCACACACAAATACCATTGCTATTCAAATTATTTTGTTCGCGTTAAACAAGATCAAGCATCTCTAGTCCTTCCTGTTGCCCCGTTAGAAAGAAATAAACTTCAGACTATCCCAAGTTTGGATCACGGTATTGACTCCGTATGTTGTCCTTGAGTCAGCTCAGCCGTATGTGGTACCTGTACTAAGTTTGGAAAACTAAAGAATTATAAGCATATAAATGAATATAATCTCTTCATCAAGATGGAACTCTACTTCATCTTCCCGCACTTGACTATCAAATCTGAAATCAGAATTTTGTATTATTTTCTAACAACGAAGTTTACCAAAAATACCTAACTATGTTGGACGTTAAGCGCAAGAAAGAACGCAACAATCAGATGAAATGATACCACGGTTCGCGTGCTTGTCACTGCGTTCTATTTATAGCAACCTGCGAACGCTAATGCGACGTGATTTAAGGTAGATTAAAGACCGACCCCCATCTCAACAGCTGTCCAAACAAATGAACGCATCAACCGTCATAGCCGCCATGTTGAATCTGACCGCCGGCCACTTCCGGTCAGGCGACATCGGATCCGGTTAAAGCGAGGGTCAAGTGAGATGACCGCTTGAGTGGACGGGGAATTACCCGAGGGCTGGGCACCGGATGGATGGGTGTCTTTGATTCTGGAGGTGCATGCAATAGTGGCTGTATCGCAGGGATTTGGTTAGGGGGATGGGGAGGGGAGGAATAGACAGGTAAGTGTTAATGGGAGTTTTTACATAATGGGAATCGTGAAACGATAGGTGTAACTGGAGAATGGTATATGTAACATGGGGAATGGTAGGTTTAATATGGGGAATGGTAAGTTTAACATAGGGGAATGGCAGGTTTAACATGGGGAATGGTAGGTTTAACATGGGGAATGGTAGGTTTAACATGGGAATGGTAGGTTTAACATGGGGAATGGTACGTTTAACATGAGGAATGGTAGGTTTAACATGGGGAATGGTAGGTTTAACATGGGGAATGGTAGGTTTAACATGGGGAATGGTAGGTTTAACATGGGGAATGGTAGGTTTAACATGGGAATTGTAGGTATAACATGGGAATGGTAGGTTTAACATGGGGAATGGTAGGTTTAACATGGGGAATGGTAGGTTTAACATGGGATTGGTAGGTTTAACATGGGGAATGTTAGGTGTAACATGGGGAATGTGCTGTTCATAAAGAAATGCATACGAAACTGTTAATGATTGTTTATAGAAGCTGAAAAGAAAAACCTCGAAATGGACCTTCACATTTAAAAGAATACAAAACTGAAAATTATTTCAGCTTATTAAGACAGTAACACAGAACTAAATGCTAGCTTATACTATTACAGAAATATTATTTCATTAATATCCCTATTTTTTTAAATATATCATTTGAAAATTTTTTTTTTTCTAAATTGCAAATTTCTAATGTCAACGTACAGACAAAAAGTCGGTACCTCTTATTCATTACATTCAAAAACTCTAGGTTCGTGTGTTTTTCTAATTATGTACAGAGAGTGAACATAAAAGTACCGCAACACACCAGAACGATTCTAATTTTAAGACCATAAAAGCCAACTTTTCGGCATACTGTGGTTACAGTGAACGTTAAAGACACAAAACACATCAAACATAAGAAAAGATTAAAAAAAAAACAAATTCTCTGCACTATGTTATGATCTAGGTCTACTTACATTGACCACTAGGACACGCAACACATCAAACATAAGAAAAGGACGCCTCACATTCAAAGATCAGAACAGCCAATATCTCGGCACGATGTAGATCTACTAACATTACCACTAAGGACCCACAACACATCAAACATAAGAAAAGATCAGAAAACCAACTTCTCTGCATTATGTTATGATCTAGGTCTACTAACATTACCACTAAGGACCCGCAACACATCAAACAATAGAAAAGGACGCCTCACATTCAAAGATTAGAACAGCCAATATCTCGGCATGATCTAGGTCTACTTACATTGACCAGTAAGAACCCGCAACACATCAAACATAAGAATAGAACGCCTCATTTTGAAAGATCAGAACCGCCAATTTCTCGGCATGATCTAGGTCTAGTAACAGTGACCGTTAAAGACACACAAAAAACACATCAAACATAAGAAAAGGACGCCTCCCATTGTTAGATCAGAACAGAAATCTTTCAAACTTGACCTGACATCGCGTGAGACTTGAAATCCGAGTCAAGAAATCGACGTCTTGGTGATTTTAGTTTGGTTTAGTATTTTAACAAGCTGCTACCATCAATAATGTACTCATCTGGGTAGGCCCACCAAAATTAAAGCTGCTCTGTGAGATTTCTGGATCTGGTTTATGTGTGTGTGTTGTGTGTGAGAGTGTGTGTGTGTGTTCGTGTGTGTGTGTGCCCGAGTATGTGCGTGGATGTGTGTGTTATGGGTGTTGAACCATGTTAGATAACTCTCAAAAATACGTTCCAACATTCGAAAATATGTACATAACTTACTTAACCAATGCACTTTGTTGTCAATTTATCTTCCGTCCGAAATTTTTACAATTATTTTTTTTTTTTGAAAAACGTAGAATAACAATATTTCTCTCTAAAATTACAAATTGCAGAGAGTAAACACCATCCTTGTTAATTACTAATGCATTTTAAGCAACTATTAATCCTGTAGGCGACAACTTTATATTTGCATTTTGACTTTTTCCACATATTCTACCTAATTAAAAATCGAAAGCGATTACTGCTTATTAATATATAAATACAAATCTTATATTACAATTACAATATATTATAAAAACAAAAAAATTTCATTTTATTAATTTGCTCTATTTAATTTCTATCTAAATGTTTTTCACTTTTAATTTTAATGCAAATAAGTGTATATTTTTCTATGATGCAAATTACTATTGTAGTTTGGTTTTTTTTAAAAATACATTAGCTTTTGTATTTTTTTTTTAAATTATCTTTTGCAGTTGTTTTTTAATACATAATCTTTTGTAGTTGTTTTTAATACGTTAGCTTTTGTAGGTTTTTAAATACATTATCTTTTGTAGTTTTTTATATACATTTGTAGTTTTTTTTAATACATTTGCTTTTTGACTTTTGTTATCTATACCCGAGCCAGGGTTTAGCGTTCTTCCATTCCCCCATTCCCCCATTGATTTCGGTAGTTAGACGAACCGCTTCTCGCGGGATTACAACCGGCTTAACCTACCGGCACCAACGTCTCAGCTCCCGCATTGCTCCGGAGTTAGTGCTCCACTCCCCGGGCTCCCAGAAACGGAAATTATTTGTTTCGCTCGTGCTCTTGGCCTCGTTATGGGATTGGTCTTAATGGGCGCGAGCCCCGAGTTTATCCAGCGCCACCTACAGCAGCGGTGGAGCCTGAAGCCGCTTTTGTTAGATGGTAATAGGTTGGAAAGATGGGCGTCCGCAGAGGGGGTGGGGTGGGGGAGGTGTGGATGAATACCCAAATAAATTTAAATTTGTGAACAAATGGTTTAGCTAAACAAAAACAGAAACCAAAACATTCGGGGTTTTAAGAAAGCCTTAATAACATAATAATAATGTTCGAAAGTTGAATAACAGAATAGGCAGAAGTTGATTTAAAGTAAAAAGAAAATAACAGAAATGAACATATATATATATATATATATATATATATATATATATATATATATATATATATATATATATATATATATTGGTATATAAAGAGACAGTGTGGTCGGTACTATGGCCCGTCGCATTCGTTACGATAGTTTTTTCAGTGACCTCGTACTTTTTTCGGCCAATGAAGATTTTAATGGTACTCGGTACACGGCAAGTCTAAAACAATTAATTTACCAGATACAGAAAAACAAACTCATGCTTAATCTATCTCAACCAAATATCAAGCTCTAAAAATGTAAATTTTCGCTGTGGTGATGGTTTATGAAACATTCTTTATTTCCCTGTAGTTAGCAATATTTGTTTATTTCTAATGCAGTATCAAAGAAAGACTTTAATTTATTTGTAGATTGGTCAAAAAATAAAATTGATCCATTTTATGCTTATATATTGAATATGTAGAAGACATCAAATAATCATGTATTTTATTTCTAATGACAATAAAAAGCCATAAAATGATCTATTATTTTTTTTATGTTAGTTAAAAGCTATAAAATGATTTTCTATTTTTCTTTATCATTTTTTTATGTATCATAAGCCCTCAAATGATCTTTAATTAACTGTTTCAGGTTTATCAAAAGTCCCGAATGATCTTTAATTAACTGTTTCAGATTAATCATAAGTCCCTAATCATCTTTATTTAACTGTTTCAGATTTATCAAAAGTCCCGAATGCTCGGAGCCCATTGTCTCACAGTGTAAAGGGGAGATCATCTACGCTATTCAAGCATTCAAAAGTCGCCAGCAATACATATGTGGGGAGAGGTTTACCAGAAAAGGTAAACTTTTTCTAGCCTTTGCTACCTGAAAGGGAAACATTTTCTAGCCTTTGCTACTAGAAAAGGTAAACATTTTCTAGCCCTTGTTTGCTACTAGAAAGGGAAACATTTTCTAGCCCTTTCTATCAGAAAAGGTAAACATTTTCTAGCCCCTGCTAAATGAAAGGGAAATATTTGCAAGCTCTTGCTTATAAAAAAGGTAAACATTTTTTAGTCCGTGCTACTTACAAATGTAAAGAGTTTCTAGCCCTTGTTACTAGAAATGATAAACTTTTTTACTTTGTACTATAAGATAAAAAAGTTTTCATGGTTTTCCTATATTAATTATATTTTGATATTATGTGAAGTTTGGGGGGGGGGGGGGGTTGAAACAAGGCTGTTTTCAACAATATATTTTCCCATTATGGCCAACGACACTGTGAGCCATCGCCACGAATGTGTTTTCTTTTCTGCCGTTCTCTGACAACTTTATTGGCAGTTCCCCTACTCGATCCGCCCCTCTCCATTTTTTTGTCTGGGCTCTACCTCTACATTTGTCTCTGGGTTTTCACATTTGGCTTTCCCTTCGTGGGGTCAAGGCCAGCGCCATTGCTGGGGTTAAAGGTCGTTTACAACAACATTAAAACCAGGTTGTTGTTTTTGTTTTTTTATCAAAAATTATATACGGTCCTTTTCCAAATCGTGCATCAGAATATAACCAACACCAGAACAATGGCAGACGCAGAGGCGTAGCGAGGGCTGGGCGGGGGATGCGTGCCGCACCGGGTGACACCAAGGCAAAATATTGCAAAATTTACAGACGAAAAATGCTTTTTTGCCTATTCAATTAATAATAAATCAAAGTTAAATAGTCTTTTAACAAGGGGGTGGGATGACACTATGACGTATACATGCTAACTATAGAGAAAACTGCAACACCCAACTGTATTATTAACAAACTATAGATAAACATCGTTGCAATAACGTCTGAAGTTATTAAAGCTTATAAACATACAAACATACATTTTCGCGTATGTGGCATATATTTCAATTATAGGCCTATGTAGGTACACACAGACACAGACACAGACACACACACACACACATAAATATATATATATATATATATATATATATATATATATATATATATATTGTTTCTTGGGAGGGTTGACACCACGAAGTGCTGCACCGAGTGACACCCGACCTAGCGACGCCATTGGGCAGACGACAAGCAGAAATCAACGAATACTCAGTGTACTAGATCGGGAACACTAAAAAAAATTTTAAGACGAGTTTAGTAAAACAGGCTTTCAACCAAGTCCAAGTAGATTTGGAAGCTAAACCTGTACAAATGTTATCCATATTTAAATCTCATGTTGGCTGTACTGACTACTTGGTCGTACGCCCAACTGCTGAATGGTTTGTAAAATATTAGTCGCAATATAGCGATAGCTTAGTAGTTTTGAAACCGCCTATTGAGTTCTTCGATCAAAGAAAAAGTCTGACATAAAAAACTGTGTATAATGACACACATTAGATCGAATTGATCCAGCACCAAATGCCACATAGTACATTTTCCCAGCTACAAATGACACATGTCATAGCTGCTGTATTCCAAAATGCGCCTTTCATTTATTTCTTAGCATCAAATGCCACGTGACATTAGTTCCCTAACTCCTAATGACTCTTTCCATTGGTTTGCCAGTTCCTATTTATACCTCGCTATTGTACTTCAGATCCAAATGACCCCTGTCACTAAAAACTAAATGACGCTGACATTTTCCCCAATTTCATTAATGTCATCTGAAATTTAATTTGATCCACATCTCCAAACAAACCTGTCCTCACTCCCCTGACTCTAAATGACATGTGACATTTGGTCCCCATCTACAAAACAAACCTGCCCTCACTAACATGAATCTAAATGACATGTGACATTTGGTCCCCAGGTATCAGCGACATGCCCACTTGTGTGAGGACCTACCAGCGGAACTTCGCCAAGTGCAAGAGGACTAGGGCAGAGAAGCTGGAGCAGGATTCGTACATGACCCAGGCGCCGACATCACCACATCCTTGGTGCAAGTAGGTGCTTTTTAGTGATGTGGGGGGGGGGGTCATGTGGGGTGGGGGTCATGTGGGGTGGGGGGTCAGGACTAAGGGGGTCTGGAGCAGCATTCTTACATGACCCAGGCGCCAACATCCCCGCATCCTTTGTGCAAGTAGGTGCTCTTTAGAGATGTGGGGGGGGGGGGTCATGTGGGGTGGGGGGTCAGGACTAAGGGGGTCAGGAGCAGGATTCTTACATGACCCAGGCGCCTACATCACCGCATCCTTGGTGCAAGTAGGTGCTCTTTAGATATGTGTGTTTGAGGGGGTCAGTAGTGTGTGTGGGGGTTATGTGGGAAGGGGGTCAGTTGTTTGGACGGGAGATTGTCTAAATTAGGATTCGTAAATGACCCATGCGCCAACCTCACCGCATCCATGGTGCAAGACGTTTCTATTTAAAGATTTGTTCGTGGGCATATGAGGACGAGGTGGTAAGGAGAGTGTGAAGTGCAGCGAGTCATGGTTGTATGTTGGTTAGGGTGAGGTTGTGGGTGTTCAAAATCTTTATAAACGAGGATTGAGCCATAAGCACACAAACAAATTGCCTCGGTTTTATCAATTTTTACAAAACACATTTTCGGGCTAGTTATCAACGAAATCCGAGGTTTAAGTACATTTCAAATTTCACATCTTGATACTATTTTCCCTCCCCAGCTATACCAACGAGTACATCGAGTGTGTCTTCACCATCATGTCCTTTGGCTGCACCATGAAAGTCGCCAACAAGTACTTCGAACAGGCCAACCAATCGTCGCCCGTCATCGATGCTATTTATAGATACGGCTGTTCCTTCAGCCACCCGCTGGATATTCTCAAAACGACGTCACCGACCACGGAAACGACGTCACCAATGCACGGACCCCACAGCGGTTACACCTACCGTAGACCCAACCAGGGGTATTATAATAGAGCCAATGGACAACATCAAAACTCGCATATCATTAACATAATGTGTTGCCTTTGTCTTTACGTTTTGTTGAGAGGTCAAGGCCTATGGAGGATAGACGTGTCATGGAGGTCGCGATGACGTTTCGTGATTTGATTGGTGGATTTCGATACTTGGATACTTTCAATGTTGGTATTTGCATATAAATCGTTGTAGGAGACAAAGACGAATGAATGCCTTTGGATAAATCATTTTTATCACGATACTTCTTAGTAAGCAATATAGTGTTAAAATTGTCAACATTCTAACTCATTGTCTAATACGAAATGTTATCCTAAATGGTCATACGTTGTTTTAGACTAAGTATTTACTGTTTGCAAACTCTGGTAAACTTTCTGCTTAGCTTCTGTTTATTCACTGGAAGATCATACCCGGAACTTATGTCTTGAAAAGTGCAATATCATCGTGATAATTAAATACGAAAATTTTTATTTTCGCCGTAATAAAAAAAAACATTTTTAATATAAAAACATTGAAATCTTTATACATAAAAGAGTGTGTACACACGATGCAATAAGGTTGTGTTATACTCAAGACTCCGAGGCGTACACTATAAATAAACCAATTGTGTACACAAAGGCCAAAGTTGCATCTGATAAATCATCAAAGTGTACACCGTACACAAGAATAATAGGTAAAGGACTAAACAAACTCGGTCTATGATTGGTGGTGGGGGGAGGGTAAATCAAGCAGGCCATTGTCACATTGCATTCCAAATATCGCTTGTGTATGGTCTTATTAGCCAGTGCTATAGCGAGTTACCGACGTATAGCGGATCTATCGGGGTATAGAGGAGATATAGATCATAGATATATTTGAAGTTTATCGACGTATATCGAATTTATCGTCGTATAATGGATCTATAATTGTACGGCGGACTTATAAGCGTATAACGGATCTACTGACTTATAGCGGATCTAACGTCGTATAACGGATCAGTAGACTTATAACACATCTATCTCGCTCAGTGTATCAATCATTGTGGACGGGAGAATGACGATAATATCAAACCTATGATATCATTGTAGAAAGCGCAAACAATGCCAGGGCGTAATTATACAGAAAACCTACAGAAAACTTACGAAAAAACCTACCGAAAACCTACAGAAAACTTCCTGTTCTATTGAGAATCAAAATAGATGTATTACATCATGTATGATTAAGAAATAAAACATGTGTTATATTCATGAATTATCATATACATGTTTATTATCGTGTGGCATTAAGAATCAAAGAGATAGATGTATAACATCATGTGCGATAAAGTGTCAAACAGATGTTTTACACCTTGTGTGATAAAGAATAAAAACAGATGTGTTATATCTTTGAGTGATAAAATACCAAATAGATGTGTTACACCTTGTGTGATAGAGTATCAAACAAATGTATAACATCATGTGTAATAATATACCAAACAGATGTATAACATCTTGTGTGATAGAGTACAATACATGATGTTTTATATCCAATTATCAAGTACCTAACAAATGTATAACATTTTGTGCGACTAAGTATCAAACATATGTATAACAAACTGATGTATGATATAGTATGTAAAAGAGTATTAAACAGATGTATTAAATGGTCAGTGACAGAGAATAAATACATGTATATCATCTTGTGTTATAGAGTATCCGAAGGTTATGCTACTATAATATATATATATATCACACTTTAGGTGAAACACTTGGACAATTAAGATGAATTTGTTATTGTATGTACCTTAGAATGTAGATATGTTCAAAATGTATAGTTACTGTACAGCTCATCTTTAGTTTGAGTAAGACATTCGCGCTATTATATTAATAAATCACATCTTTTTAAAATAATTTTATCACATGTTAATTTATTCATCATTGGCTCATTATGTAATAATCAACATACGTGTGTTACTCTCGTATGCTTTATATATAAACTCGTGTCCACGATAGAAATTTACGGGATTTTTTCATATGTACTAGTAATAGAAGCTAAGGGAACGTAATTATTTTATACATACAGTATATTTTATGACCGTTTAGCTTATCCACGACAGAAAGCGTTTTAATACTGCGATAATAATTAAAACAAAGGATTTTTAAAAATTGTGATAAAGCTTTTCGTTAAATAGGGAAACTAACATTTGTGTTTCATGAAAGCAATACGTGATAGGGGAAATAACTGTGATAATATAGATACGATGAATAATTATTTCTTTGTTACTTCCCTTTGACCATGTTCTGCATTTTTGACAAAAACTTGTACATTACTGAGTTAAACTCATCTTTACATCAATGTTATTTTTGTTCTGCTGTTTAAGCGAGTCTAATCTTCCTTAGTAATAAATTTTATTTCAAAAGATATCTTCAATTACATGTACTAAAAGTAAAGCAATGGGACAGTGTGGCTGGAGGTTAGAGCACACGACTACCAACATATAAGTCTCTTGTTCGAATATTTACTCGAATTCCTTTGTCTACCTAGCTCTGATGGGTACACAAATCACGTTAGGGAAAATAATGACGGCTGTGCATCTAAATAATCACACTTTGCCAAGTCTACGGAAACATTTGAACTCTACTTCACCAGCCCTATTGACCTTTTGGCTCGAAATGGTATCCCAAAGTAAACTAATTGAATTTAGAACAAGAAATGCTCTAAACGAGCGAAGAATATTTTTTTTATATCAGTCACGGGTATAAATGAAACTTCTGTTTTATTTCTTTTTTGTCTTCGTGTATAGTAATTTATTACTCAAAAGTTTATCATTTTCTTCATGTATATACATAATATCATCAAACCATATTATCATGTATCGTTTCGTAGCATAATAATTAAAATAATTAGTTTATCATATTTTTCATGTCGGCCTATATAAATACTTTAAATTCATATTGTTATATATATATATCATCATAAGTAGTATATATATATATATATATATATATATATATATATATATATATATAGTATATATATATATATATATATATATCATGAGTAGTATTATACCCCAACTGTTACCTTTGTTTTTACCACTATTCCCTACATTTTGTAAACTTTGTGATTTAGCTGAATTCGCATCTTCCATTGTTTGACTCAACACTGCTTGAGAAATGGGTTTCAATCTGTTCTATATTATAGTTGGTCGATATGTTTTTGTATGAACAACAGTTTGTTCTTGAAATAGTAACAGCTTGTAGATATTAGGGGGCATCAGGCAGTTCAATTTACAAAGAATACGCTTTTGCATTTAATTATCTATAAATATTTATAATCATATAATCTAAATATAGGCCTATACATGTATATATTACTATTATATATATATATATATATATATATATATATATATATACTATGTATGTATGTATTATTTATAACTACATATATGTTTATATATATTATATGGTATTGGTATATATATATATATATATATATATATATATATATATATATATATATATATATATATATATATATATGTATATATATATATATATATATATATATATATATATATATATATATATAATATACATACATACATATATATATTGCAAGTAAATGGAAATTAAAGAAAGATATTAAAAAGTAGTTCAAAATTATGTTCGAATTGTCGTGTTACAATCAGATATTGCATGTATACCTAACAATGTATTAGAATGATAAACAAACCAAGCACCTTGTTGTATTTAGAATACAAAAAATGTTACTCTATGTTGCTGTAAAATCATAATGTGTCTCAAATCATGTACAAATCCCATTGTAAAACATCTATTTATTACATACCTTAAGTAGAAAAGTATTATACGTGAAAAATCACAGTTATGTGTTTCAACTGCTTCACGATAGTTGGTTTATAAATATTAATCTGTATTTACGTTCCTTGTTATTATATAGTCTTACTTACAAATACTAAATTAATTCATTATAATTCTTATACATTTATAGTTACTAAATAAAAATCGTACACAGTAATTAATAAATCTAAAATTAATAAATAAGATATGTCAATTAATTAGTATTTAGGGGCATTTGTCTAAAACAACATGTAGTTTCTAAATCGCCATAAATCTAACACTGCAGGTTAGAATAGAGAGAAAAAAATGTGGTCTAAACAGTGTTTATTTTAGTGATCTTTCCATACCTTAACCCTCCCACCACATAGGTCGTGCACCCGACCCCCCCTCCCCCATTATAAAAAGTAAAAAATAGATTATTTATATATATATATAGTGTGTAAATTTACCAGCCTCCACACCCCTCCCAAGAAATTTCAAGATCTCCCACCCCATAGGAAATATATGAAAGAAACCCTGCATCTAACTAGACCTTTCTGAAATACAAAATGACAGTATGGTTTTAAACGTTATTCGATTGATAATTTAAAAATTTAAACTGACGTAAACAAGAGTATACATTGTGTCCTTTTCTGTCACCTTATAAATAATAGAAATAGATGTTAGTAATTCTTAATTTCAGCATATATATATATATATATATATATAATATATATATATATATATATATATATATATATATATATATTCATATATATAAATATATATATATACATATATATACATATATATATATGTACATATATATATATATATATATATATATATTTATATATATATAATATATATATATATATATATATATATATATATATATATAAGAAGGTGTCCGTTTCCGCTGTGTATTTATTGTTGAAAGCCCAGTTGGCAGCAGAAAAAGATTAAACGTACCCCGCATCACCTCATCACTTGCTCTCTGTACGGTTAACCTAGAACTAGAACCTTATTGAAACGTGTTGTGTTCATTCAAGTCACCATCTTAACAATGAGTTTAGAGGTGTGGTATAGTTTGTTTCTGTTGGTTTTGTTTTTTATTTTGAGAAATTTTGTCGGACACGATGATTAAAATACAATAAACTTCATAATATTCGAGTTTTTTTTTTTTTTAATATTGTGTTATTTTATTTCTAAATGTTATTTTACGTTACGTCTAAATTGTTGATTTCTTTTTAATTTTGGTACTTAATTTTTTAAAAACATTTTATATAATAATCTAGACCAAAACGATACACTAAAATACGTTATAAAATAACTTATTTAAATAATAGTTCAGCTTATAAAGTTTCAATAATACACTTAAAGTAAGCTCATAATATCTAAAACTGTATGTGTGCCTGTCGATAATTTATACACGTTAGCGGTAAGACAACATGGATTCTTCTCTGGTGGTCTACGTTGAAGGTACATGCCCAGCATCCATACAACAAGACAAATATAGCCAGTGATCTAGTGATCGAATTACCTTATTTTTTATGTTAAAGCATAGTGTTATACTG